TAGAACTAAGGAAAAGTTGCATGGATCTGCACTCACGGAAATATCCTATGCTGGTGAAGAGGTTATTGCTTGTTGTAGAACATTGTAAGAGCCACATATTTCCCAAATGGTGTTCAGATTTTTCTCTCTTCGTTCGTCTTATTTTGGGATAAGTGTGTATGATCCGATTCTCTTGCAGAAAATATACTCCATCACTTGAAGATGTGGGGGCTTATCTAGTCTTGTACTGGATTCCTACTCGCGTAGATGGGAGAAGTGGGAAGCCAGTTGTTTCGATAACAAACTCTCCTGTTGCCCCAGGTGCAGACATAATCACGCTTTCTATTATCTTGCTAGCTATTGTACTAATCAGATATAACATTTTAACTACCAATAACTTACTAATCATTTGTCCACACCAATCTAGTTTGTTATGCTAATTATCACTTCCATGATATCGCCTTTTGATTGAAGTTTTTCCTTAACCTGTCAACTTTCACCTTTTCCAATCTGTTGAAGGTCATTGGTTTAGCTAATGTGTAAGTCATTGTTTCTGACGAAATTATGTGAATAATGTTGCAGCTTATCCAGAAGTATTTAACGTTCGCGTGAAGAAACTTTTTTCGGATGCTTATTCTGGAGAAGGAGAGTACTTTGGCGGCCATGAAGGTGCAAGTCTCTTCAGTTGGTACAGAGATAATGATGGAACCATTGATCTTATTGATGGGGCTAACTCCAAAACCTATGAGGTGACTGAGTCAGACTACAATTGCCGCATATTGTTCGGGTATGTTTCCACAGCCGTTTCTTCTTGCAGCTTTGACAAGCATTCAAGCATCCATTGCTTTGATATATTCATTTAGCATGCAATGTATTAATGGGTTTTTTGGTTTTACACTTTTGAATGTTTCTTGTTTTCAAAATACTGATAGTGATCCGTAGCTCCATGATGGTTTTCACTTTTGTATGCAAACTTGAATCTTAGAACTTATTCAACGTATTTTTCAGGTACACACCAGTTCGTTCAGATTCTGTTGTGGGCGAGCTAAAGATGTCTGAGCCAACTGAAATTATCCTCCCAGGTTTTCATTCTTCATCACTAGCAAAAGCTTGATTTTTATTGCTGTGTTATGTTATCCTTTTTTGTTTCCATTTTTTTTGGGTTTCTTTGTGGGTTCTCTTTGCAATACAATTCTAACACTTACTTATCACAATACAGAGGTTCCAAGAGTGGACATGCTTGCGTTCACTGGAAAGGCTGTACAGGGTGATGTTCTCACAGCCGTACAAGTGATCCCGAAGACTGAAATCCAACAACTTGTTTGGAGCAAGTACAAAAGAGCTATTCAATACCAATGGTATATTTGCACCTGACATTCTAGGAGTTATTGGTACTATGAAATTTTGAGATTCAGGGCGTTTTAAGATGAACATGTTTCAGATTTGGTTGGCTTTGATGCCTCTAAATCCAATAAGATGGAAATGTTGTTATCATGTGTTGAACTTAGTATCTGATATCCTTGGCCAATCTGCTTACTTTTTGGCAACTTGCTTTTCACTTTTATTAGCTTTCTTTATAAATGACGCCACAAAATCTTTTATAAAGTGGTGTTTTTATGTAGTGGATCTCATATAACGGTTGTGGCAGGTTCCACTCACTGGAATCAGGGGATGAGATTGTGTATGAGGCTCTCTCTTCAGAAATTTCGTGTTCATACAAGGTGCGGTTTGAGGATATTGGGAGATGTCTCAAATGTGAATGTGTAGTACATGATGTGTTTGGAAGGTCTAGTGAACCAGCATATGCCGAGACTGATCCGATATCACCAGGTTTCAATGCATTCCAGTTGCGATTGCATCTTGTTTACCAATATCTCTGACGAAGTGCAGGTGTGACCAACTTTCTATCTACTTCAGGTTTTCCTAGGATAGAGAAGCTAGAGATTGAAGGAGGAGGCTTCCACACCAACTTATATGCTGTTCGAGGCAATTATTTTGGTGGTAAAGAGGGTAAGAGTAAAATCCAATGGCTTAGATCAATGGTTGGAAGTCCTGATCTCATCTCGATTCCAGGTACGCAACACTTGCGTCACATTGTTATTTCCTTCATGTCTAATAGTAAAGCTTAGCGTTTCATATGAGACTCTTAATTCTCGGTTATCTTATAGTCAAAATACCTGAAAAAGTTTCAGCCATTTTCATCTGTGGATTTGGTCCATTTTGGTTAATTTTGTAGGTGAGACAGGAAGGATGTATGAAGCTAATGTGGATGATGTCGGGTACAGACTGGTCGTTGTATATACACCTATACGTGAAGATGGTGTTGAAGGTCACCCAGTTTCAGCATCAACAGAACCTGTTGCTGTTGGTAAGATTTTCAGTTATCATCATCATCACTGTCATGAATAATTTCGTAGTTCTTTGTTGTTGTGTGTATCAGTGTATGTATTTACCAACTAATACCTATTGTCATCAAGTCTCTTAAATATGGCCTCAAATTTGCTAAAGTAACTCTTTTCCAGCTTCATTTAAAAGGGATCTCTGTTGCCTCTTCCACGGCTACTTTTCTTTTCTTTCCAATGGAATTCATGCTAATGTTTAATTTGCAGAACCTGATCTTTATAAAGAAGTGAAGCAGAAATTAGAAACTGGGTTAGTGAAGTTTGAGGTAAGATGAACTTTTTGTTTTGTTTCCTTAGCTTCACTAGTTTCCTATAGCAATCCCTTATATGTTCTTTCATCTTTTGATTTTTTGGAACCAGGTGCTGTGTGACAAGGACCCTTATCCAAAAAAGGTATGTACTTCAAAAATTCTGGTATTACAATTGATTCGTTGTTCATCGAGTTGTGTTTTATCTAAAGGATGAAAGTGCTAATGATTGTAGATTGTGGGAGAGGGAAATCTCGAGAGACGAATGTTAGAAATGAACAGGAAGAGAATAAAGGTTGTGAAACCAGGTTCAAAAACGTCTTTCGCAACTACTGAAGTTCGTGGAAGCTATGTACCTCCTTTCCATGTAAGTGTGTTTCTTTTTTCACCACGATCACTAGACTCTTGAATCTTCAAAATGTTTATTAAACCATCATTTTGCAACAAACCAGGTAGAGACATTTCGTAATGACCAGAGACGGCTAAGGGTCGTTGTGGATAGTGAGAATGAAGTAGACATGGTGGTGCATTCGCGCCATCTCCGTGATGTTATAGTGCTTGTCATTCGCGGCTTTGCTCAACGGTTCAACAGCACTTCACTCAATTCTCTACTTAAGATCGATACATGAAACCTACAAGGAGCGGTTGCGTGTATTACAAGTTTCTCCGGTTTCTTTCTTGTTTGACATCCAATAACTCATACGCTTTGGTTATGGGATTGTCTGTGTCTTTTGGTGGTTTTTTCACCAAACCAATATGTTGTGGTGTGATTGGTTTGGGTGAGAGAACCAAAGAGTTGTACCAAATGGGTTTTCAAAATTTTATTCTATTCAGGTTTTTGAAGTAAATGCATACACCATTTGTTTTCATATGTATAACATTATATCGAATCCTACCATAAGTGAAATTGTAACAATTTCTTTATAACTAGCAAAACTAATCATATTTAAGTGACAATAATTTTGTATGTGTAGTTTTTTTAACATTAACAACATACTTGATGATTAAGAGACACTTTAATTTTATCAAAAACAAAACCATCAGCTTAGTGACCAAGTAATACTGCTTCTGCATATTATCCACTAAAAAATATAAGAGATATGGTGTGGATGTCTAGTCATAGACTTACCATTGTTTAGTCAAAACAAATTAGGTTTATTGAACTCTCATACACTAATTCTATGACCAAGTAAAAACATAAATCAGAAAAGAACAACTAAACAGACTAAAACCAAATCATAAATTTCGGTAATCCGTGTAGAACTAGAATCTAGATTAAAGTTACTTCTACTCCATTTTTATTCTTTTGGTCAAAGTAATTACTTTTACTCTTACATATCTATATTTGTTGAAACATTAAGTGGAAAAATGCAATGGCTAACATGATCGTCACTCTTCTTATCTCTCTGCCTCGTGTAACCTTGTCACCTTTGTCACTTTCCCTCTTCCTTTTTCTCAGCTTTTCATTCTAAATAGTTGCAACTCCAAACCTTTTTAGTAAAACAAAAGTTCATTCTTCTTTCTTTTTCTCTTTTCCCTTGTTCTTTCTTAAAATATTTATTTACATCACATACAAAGTGGCGTCTCTACCTTTTTAACAAAAAAAAAAAAAACATTTGCCTTTAAGTTTGGAGACCCAAAAACTTATTGAAGTTATCTTATCGTAGTAGTTAATAAATACTTTCGGTAACGTTTAAGTGGTAAAAAGACCCAAATTTTTATGAACCTTGGAAATGTATCCGGTTATATAAAAAAAAATGTTTCATTCCAGAATAACAATCTAGCGGTCTAAAGCTAGCACTATGCGAATTGACGATAAAAACATGGGAGCACAAATAAAAATAATAGTTAAACAAACCAAGAAGGCAATCTTAGGCTCAAAACAGTTCCTTCTTGTGTAAGTTAATTCGCTGTTTATGCTGGCCAACTTAATCTTTGCCTTTGATCATGTTTGGTCGCTTTAAAGGTTATACTTTCTTACATAACTATTTAACATTAAACTATTGTTTATTATATAAAGTAAAAATGATTTACTTGTAGATATTATTCATATACCCAAAGTCCTTGGTATTCCTCCGACTCATTCTAGTAAACACTATCGAAATCCTGTAAAAATATTCTGTATTACCTTGAACAAAAGTATTGTACATTTTTCTGGCACATACATGTTTATTACTTCGCTTAATATATTGAAAATACTTACTTCGTTAAATAAGAAATCATAGGTAAATTTTTGATAGTTTCCACCTTCAAATTAAAAATTGAAGCAAAAGAGAAAAAAGTTCGCTGAAATCTTAATATTTACACCCAAAAAAAAAAGTCGCTGAATAAAATAATCAAAAGAAAGAAAAAAATCGAAATTCAACAAAAGTTTCCCTCTTTCTTTGTACCAGGTTCCATGTCAGTATCACTCACCTGTGCTAAGAAAATAAAATATTTAAGCCCAATTTCTCTCTCTCTCTCTCTCTCTCTCTCTCCTCGAAATTTTGTTTCCAGTTGCATCGTTTTTCTTGCTGTTTCCGAGCTTTGGACCAAAAGCTTTGACCTTTGTCGAAATTGCTGCTGTTTACGAGGATCAAAGTGTGTTCTTCCTCTAAAGATTTTCTCCTCGAACTTGTTTCTCCAGAGAAATGCCGTCAAAGAGTAAAGTGAAATGAAAGAAAGGCGATTCCTTTTTGGAGTTAAATCACTCGCGAGCTTCGCTGGTATGTTCTCGAAAGCACATTTGGAGATTAATTAGCTGTAATCTCTTGCCCTTTGAACACTTTTCTGCTAGTGACGAGCCACAAAATAAAAGGGCAAAAGAGAGCACTTAGGGTGTGTTTCTCCAAACTTTTTTCCAAGAGAAAACTCTTTTTTTTTTTTCTGAAAAGCTTAGCCCTTTGGTTGAATCGTTTGTATATTTCAGATTCTAAGTGATCGAGCCTAAGGAAAGAAGGAAAAGGGAAGAATTTGATTGTGGGAAGAAATGGGTTGTGCTGCTTCAAGCATTGATAATGAAGAAAAGGTTTTAGTGTGTAGGCAGAGAAAGAGGCTAATGAAAAAGTTGTTAGTCTTCAGGGGAGAATTTGCAGATGCACAGTTGGCTTATCTTAGAGCTTTAAGGAACACTGGAGTCACTCTTAGGCAATTCACAGAGTCCGAGTCCTTGGAGCTTGAAAACACTAGTTATGGATTAAGTTTGCCTTTGCCTCCATCCCCGCCTCCTACATTGCCTCCTTCACCTCCACCTCCTCCACCACCTCCTCCATTTAGCCCGGATTTGAGAAAACCCGAGACTGGCCATAGGAATAAATTGGTTGACGAGGAGGAAGAAGGTGCTGCTGGAGAGATTGATGGTAATGATGGTGGAAGTGGTGCAACTTCTAGGCCTCCATTGCCGAATTCTTGGAACTTTTGGAACCCTTTTGATTCACTTGAGCTGCATAGTCATCCAAATGGTGATAATGCAGTTACACAGATTGACCTGAAGAAGGAACATAAAATTCAGCAAGCTGAAGAGGAAAATTGGGCGGAGACGAAGTCTGAGTTTGAGGAAGAAGATGAGCAACAAGAATCAGGAGGAGGTAATTCCCTTGATTTGAGTGTTCAGCAAACAGAAGCTGTTAAGAAGCCACGGCGTCTGAAATTTAAGCTGGGAGAAGTTAAGGACGACAACTCATCGATGACAAGCTGGTCCGGTAAAGATCTGGAGAACACTAGTGTTACTGATTGTAGGATCAGGAGGACCTTAGAAGGGATCATCAAAGACTTGGATGATTACTTTCTAAAAGCATCGGGTTGCGAGAAGGAAATAGCTGTGATAGTAGACATCAACAGTAGGGATACCATTGATCCTTTCAGGTACCAGGAAACAAGAAGTAAGTGACTGACTGAGCATTCTCAACTGTCATTTGAATTTTCAATTCTTTTGGATGTTGGACCAACCACAGATCATGATTTGTCTTCATAAGCATGAACAATTTGTTGTACATGTTATATAATACTTATGTGGCTTGCAGGGAAGAGAAGCGGCTCCGCAAAGGTATTCACTGCATTGTCATGGAGCTGGTCCTCAAAGTCTCTTCATTTGGGAAAAGATGGTACAACAAGCGGCGCTGTTGAACCCTGTAGGCCTGGAGCTCACTGTAGCACACTTGAGAAGCTATACACAGCTGAGAAGAAACTTTACCAGCTAGTCAGGGTAAGAGCTAGCTGATCCAACTCTTTTGGTGTTATAATGTCAGATTCGTCAATGAAATGCTTAGTTTTATACTCTGATCAGAACAAAGAAATTGCCAAAGTGGAGCATGAGAGGAAGTCTGCATTACTGCAAAAGCAAGATGTGGAAACCTATGATATGAACAAGATGGAGAAGACACGCTTGTCTTTGGATGGTTTGGAATCTGAGATACAGCGTCTAGAAGATTCCATAACTGCGACATGTTCATCTTTACTTAACTTGATCAATGATGAGCTATATCCGCAGCTAGTTGCTTTAACTTCCGGGTAAACTCCACAGCCACTCTTTTTCTGACCATCTCACTAAAAAGCATTCCTTTTTATGCGATTTGCATGTATATATCCCTTCTTAATACGCGCAGGCTAACGCATATGTGGAAAACAATGCTCAAGTGCCATCAAGTCCAAATTCATATATCCCAGCAACTGAACCATCTTCCAGACTACCCGAGTATTGATCTCAGTTCGGAATATAAACGCCAGGCGGTTAATCAACTAGAGACCGAGGTTAATTGCTGGTACAATAGCTTTTGCAAGTTAGTAAATTCTCAGCGAGAATATGTGAAAACACTCTGTACGTGGATCCAACTTACTGATCGCCTCTCTAAAGAAGACAGCCTTACGAGCAGCTTACCGGTTGCTGCTCGTAAGCTCTGCAAAGAATGGCAGCTTGTGTTTGAAAAGCTCCCTGATAAGGTTCTTCTATCACTTGCAACTTAGATGTGTTTTTCTGGTTCTTGGATCCATGAAAGCTGTCTTTAATATGTGCAAGTGCAACTGTTTTGGGTGATACAGGTAACTTCAGAGGCCATTAAAAGCTTTCTGATGGCAATCAAATCTATTATTAATCAACAAGCTGAGGAATACAACCTGCGGAGGAAATGTAATAAACTTGAGAAGAGACTGGAGAAAGAGTTAATTTCACTGGCTGAGATCGAAAGAAGGCTGGAGGGAATTCCAGCAATGGAAGAGGAGACATCAAGCTCAACGAGTTTGGGATCTAAGCATCCGTTATCAATCAAACAAGCCAAGATCGAAGCCTTGAGAAAACGAGTGGACATTGAGAATGCTAAATACTTGAACTCGGTTGAGGTTAGTAAGAGAATGACACTGGACAACCTCAAATCATGCCTTCCCAATGTCTTTCAGGTGCTTGTTGCTCTCGCGAATGTCTTTGCCAATGGGTTTGAATCCGTTAATGGCCAAACCGCCACAGATGTTTCCGACATATCCCAAGATTCTGATGAACCTCACGCCTAAGAAAAGGCCTCATTCGTTTCTTGAGATTTCAGGAGCTTTAGCTTCTTGATGTTTATTTCTTTCTTGGTGCAACAGTGATGAGGTTTTTGTATATTAACGACTGTAGAGAAACTCATGTTTACAACTTTGTCCAGCTCCAAAACTGCATCACAAGTCCTTAAAGATCCTATGTATCATCAAATCTAAAAAGGGTAATGTTGTGTTTCTGAGTTTTCAAGAATCCCATTTACGAGTCGAATAATACACGAGTAACTACTCTACTTATCAAGAAAACAACCAAGTTTGATTTTCTTTGCAGAACAAAATTAAGTTTATGTAAATGGAATTTTAGGCAGCCAATACTAATAATTTTGGTTAAGGTGAGAAAATGTTTCTTCAGGAAGGACGATAATTCCTAGCTTAACCTGAACTTATCTACATCTCGACATTGTCCCAGTCAAACGAATTTCCTTCCAAATTGTAATCTGGATGTTGCATTCGGTTCCTCGCCAATCTGCTCATCACCGCAAGCCCTGAAAATGTAGACAGTGGAAAGCAAGAGTTCAATGATAATCTAATGATTTAAGATTTTTTGCATAATAATATCTTCAGGCAAGCAACTGTTACCTTCTATCATTCTGTAGAGTGATGACAACCAACCATCTCTAGAGATATTATGTTCCTCAAGCGACTCTGCAATCTCTTTGTCGTGTTTACCCTCAAGAACACTGCGCAGAGTCACAACCGCATCCTTTGTTCTCCTCAAAATGTTGCTATCATCTTCAATTTCAAGGCTTTGAAGATCGTTGTGAGATGAAGTAAGACTCACACCCAGTGCAAACTGAGCGGCTGCAGCCCAGCGAGAAGAAGCCAGCCATTTCCTTTGACCTTGCAAGGGTTGCGAGTCATCTCTGTCACGCTTGTTGTCAAGTACTAAACTACGCAAGTACTCAGCATTTGCAGCTCCGGTGCTTTGAACCATCTTGGAGAAAGAGCTTCTTTCATTTGAAAGAAGGTTCTCCGGTGTACTGAATTCTTGAACCTGAGTTGGAAAAAATAGGAGTAGAACAGGTTAGCTGACGAACAAGATTGAAAGAGAGTGTGTGAAAATTAAGTACATACTCTTCCAGAATCAAGGACGAGAATCTTGTCACAGTCAATGATGGTGTTGAGACGGTGAGCGATGATGAGCATCGTGCATGACTTGAATTCTTCTCGGATAGTCTTCTGAATGAGGGCATCAGTTCTAACATCAACAGCAGCAGTTGCTTCATCAAGTACGAGTATCTTAGATCTCCGCAACAAAGCACGTGAAAGACTCAGCAATTGCCTCTGTCCCACACTGAAATTCTCTCCTGCCTCGGAGACCTGAATTGGAACGCAGCAAAAAATATTAAAATCCAAACGCTATCACTTCAAAAGGAGACTTCAAGTTAACAAGTGGTAGCTGAGTACCTCAGCATCCAGACCAAGAGGATTTCTGCGGATGGTATCCTTCAGGTGTGCCCTCTCCAGAGATTCCCAAAGATCAGCATCATTGTGTTCACCAAATGGGTCAAGGTTGAATCTCACAGTCCCTGAGAAAAGAACTGGTGACTGTGGAATGATTCCAAGCACTTTACGCAGGTCCATCAGTCCAAACTTGCCAATGTCACATTCATCGATTAAGATCCTTCCTTTTTCCAGCTCCACAATTCTAAACAACGCATTCAACAGGCTTGACTTGCCAGCACCAGTCCGTCCAACAATCCCTACCTTATCTGTTGGATGAATAAAGAAAGAAACCCCATGAAGCACTGGCGGTAACTGAGGACGGTAACGGAGAACAGCATCCTCAAACTTTATGGATCCAGATGATGGCCATCCAGGAGGTGGACGGTTGCTCTCAATGACAAGTGGAGCCTCTGAAGGTATCTCTATGTAATTTCCAACACGCTCGACTGCGTTTAGGCTATTCTCAGCCAAACTCGCAAGTCTCAGAACACCTGTTAACAAGCTGGTAATGTTTAAGGCATAACTGAGTAGCAAACCCATTGTAGATGCAAATGCCTGCTGGTTCTCTGCTTTTCCATTCTGCATGACGGCGAATGATGCTGTCAGCCAAATCATAAGACCTCCCAGTGTTTCTAAACGGATCCCGAGCCACCGATTGGCAGTCATGTTGACAAGAGTGAATCTGATGTTATTATCCATTGATCTTCCGTTGATTTCAGCCATCCGATCATATGCTTTGTAAGCACGGATAGTTGATAAGCCATTCAACGCCTCTCCAAACTGAGCATAAACAGGGGATCTAGTGATTGAATCCATGCGCTTAACCTCGCGGGCAGTGTTCTGCAATACGAAAATTGATTAACATGAGCATTGCTTTTCCTAACAGTTATGTATATAGCTTCCGGACCAAACGAACAAACTTCTAAAGATAAATTAAAAAAACTCGATTGTGTGACCAATGGAGGCTAAAACATAATGTGTAACATCAGTCATGTAATGTTAAAAGGACATTACCTGGTAATAAAGATAAGCTCCATAAAACAAGACCAGGAGGGGCATAATGGCCCACAAGGATAAAGTGCTAACAATGCCGATCAAGACAACAGTTGAAAGAAGCTGTGAGACTTGACCCATAAACATGTTTACAAATACGGCCACAGTTCGATCAATATCACCAAGATCTTTTGCGAATCGATTGATTATCCGTCCTAACGGATTGGTATGGAAGAAAGTCATCGGGGCCCTTAGTATGGAATGAAGCATATTGTCATGTAACCTCTTAGCTGCATAAAGACTGGACATAATCAACCAATATGAATTGGTCAATGTCACCAAAACCTGAAAGCAAGAAGAAAGAGACTCAGCACAAAATTATCATGCCAAACACTGACCGTTTCTACCACCACCTTGCTATATACGCTATGTGTTAAATATAATGCGGTCAATAGTATACTATATCGTATCGTATATCATCCATCAAGCAAATGTAACTCATACCTGTCCAAATGAGAGAAGTGCATATATGAGATTGTAGAAAAGGGGTCCATGAATCTTTGGAGTTCCTGCATCAGTCCACTCACTCAACCACGTGCTGCTGGTCACCCGAAATACTTCTGTCAAGACGTAGCATAAAAGCAGCATCATCACTACCCATGCCCCTCCAAGTGCATCCTGGTACCTGAATACATGGTGAAATTCAGCCAATAAACATAAAGAAAATGCTTAGTTTGTTGTCAATGGATCCTCTGTTGGACCAAGAAGAAATACCTAAAGAGATTTCTACTATGGGGAAAACTGCAAACAAATAGTAACAGTGCAAAAGCCAAACGTTTCAAGTTACCTCTTCAGGACTCTCCAACTCACAACTCCGGTTTCACGTTCTTCTTGCTTGATGAGGACAGATTTTCCTCCTTTTTTATTTCCTTCCTTGGATTTCTTGTCGTCACTTCCATTCATCTGAAGAGTATTTGTGGTCCCATTCGCAACTGGTGTTACGGCCGCTTGATCTGCCTCGGCTTCTCCATTGTCTTCTGAATATTCTTCCACCTTCCCCGCATTTTCCATTAACCTCTGGAACAAAGGGCCATGAAAGGATAGCTCTTCATAAGTTCCTTCCTCTTTTACTGTGCCTTCATGGACAAGTATAATTCTATCCACTTGTGATAGAAAGTGGAGCTGGTTTGTAACAAGAACTCTCGTTTTCTGCCCCAGTTCTCTTTTTATGCATTTTTCAAAAACCTGAAACAATTAGTTTTACAAATCAGATTGACACTACTCCCAGTCTCCCATAGTGACTCGAAACAAAAATGTTTTAGTACAAGATAAATGCAAAAAGGAAAAGAACCAACGAGTTGTTACCTGTTGACCAACATGAGCATCAAGGGCACTTAACGGGTCATCAAAGATGTACACATCTGAATTTGAGTAAACGGCCCTAGCCATTGAAACCCTCTGCTTCTGTCCTCCACTGATGTTAACACCTCTTTCTCCAATCTCTGTGAGATCCCCACCCTATCAAGCAAGAAAAAGAGGTCGAAACAAAATTAAAAACACGAGAACTAGGCAAGACAAATCCTTGTTATCAAGTACACGAAGTTCTCGAAACTTACAGGCAGTAACTCTAGGTCATGCTTGAGTGCAGTAACATCAAGGACCCTTTCATATTTTTCAGGGTCAAAAGGAGAACCAAACAATATATTGTCGCGTACCTACAAATGTTTTAAGAAAATAGATATATGTCATCGGCTCAGAACAGCTTAAACATTATGTATAGGAAAAAAATTGCAAAAGTCAGCAAACGAATAGAAGAGCATACTGTTGCGTTAAAGATCCATGAAACTTGTGGGACATAAGCAACTGCTCCTCTGAGAGTGACCATTGCATCAGATGTTGCAGGAAGTTCCCCAAGGATTGCAGATATTAGGGAGGTTTTTCCTTCTCCTGTACTACCAACCACAGCAACTAGGCTTCCAAGAGGTATATCCAAGTTGATATTTGACAGTGTCGGCCTATCCCCCTGCGGATACATATGGTTAGCTCGAATTTGGCACTTCTGATGGACATCAGTAAAATGAAAGAAGGAACACATGGTATAGAGTACATAATTGGCACCTTAGCATCCCAAGAGAAAAATCCATTTCTTATTGATATGGCTGGCTTTTCAGGTTCAATGGGAGGATTTGGTAAGAGAACTCTCTCTTCTGTCGCCAATACCTCCTCTAAACGTTTTAAGGATACATTAGCATTCACCACCTAGAAGTAAACATTAGTCAGCATCAGCATCTGCAAAGAAATTATGACTATGAAATTGGAGCATGCAATTCCTTCAAGAAATCACCTGAGTTATAATGTTCGGAAGCATGAACAGAGGGAAACGAAGCACAGCAAAGAGAGAGAGCGACGTAAACGCTCTTGCAGGGGTCAGGTCTCCTCCAAGCAATGTGAACACACCAAATGAAACAATAGTCACGAGAACAGGTATGCTGTTCAGTATGAACATATTCAACTGCAAAAGAGAGGTAATACCAAGGCAGAGTCAGAAACAAAAAATACTTACGAGGAGAAACTACACAATCCAATGCAATTTATGAAAATCGTGCACAAGCATTGCAACCTATAGCCACAAATACAATGTTTGAAGAACTTAAAGAAAGCACAACATAATGAGCAGTCATATATCATTTACATGGATTTTTCCTTGTATATAGACATAACGTAAGAAGATACTATATTAATTAACAAGCTGCGCATCATAGATATACACGCACAAAAAAAAAAGGTGGCATTATTGTGTAGTCATACCGCTCCCAGGAGCTGTGATTTCCGGAACCAAGATAATTCATCATCACGTACAGTTTGGACCTTGGACTGAAAACTGTTTTCCCAAGCGTAACACCTGTAACATTTTGCTTTAGTACAAATGGCCTGCAAATTAATAACCATGCACCACGGGAAAAAAAGTTGGCTGTAGAGTTGCTTACTTTACTGTATCCATTGCAGCTAAGACCTCATTCATAAGGCCAATTCGCTTGTCAGTACGCTGCAGACCTTCCTTTGTCAATTTCTGCATTTTGCTTATAATAACTGTCTGTTTCAAGAAAACAAAAAAAACTAGTTCAGGGGAGGGATAAAGACAATTAGTAACGTTTAGGAGTACAAATGAACAAGTGAGCAGTGGAGACCAAAATGACATACGCAATGGAAAAAAATAGGAGATATAAAGGTACATGAACCTGTAAAGGGAACATGAGGACCAACAACAATGCACCAATAAGCGAGGCAACACCTAATTGCTGATAGAGGAGAATCAGTGCTACAATTATACGAAATGGAGCCGACCACATGGTATGAAGTGATTGGCAAATTTGCTGCCACAGAGAGGGAAAAGATTAGTACAAAGTACATCTGGTCGATTAGATAAATAATATTGATACCAGGCACAGTTAAGATGAAACATTAAACAAGACACAGTTTTAATTTGCAGAAGAACAGATTAAAAATTAAAAAAAAAATAATAATAAGAAAGGAAAAACAACTTCTACAGTGATAACAAAGTGCTAGCTAGGAAGCTGCAACCAATTCTAAGCAAATGCAAGAAAAAATAAAAGTAATTGTTACTGTAACATTCAAGACCAGCTGCGGACAAAACTAAACATTCAAGATCCGGACGTTGACCGAGTTGCAAATATGAAATATACCTGGATGTTGAGAAACATGCAAAATTGAAATCGAAAGTATGACGGGAATACGCACCTGAAGAGATTCAGCATCAGTCGTCATTAAGTTGGTTATCTTTCCCGTTTGAAACTTTCTACGACCTTCATTAGTTAACCTCAATGATTTGCGGAACACTGCAGCAATCTGGAAAGGAAGATTAAAGTTAAAATGATCTGCGTTCAAAATATCATTCATTATGTACTTGCTAATTTAGTTTCTACTACAAAAGCAGCTGGATAAGAACGGCAGGGTAGCAAACTGAAAGTAAAGTAGAACTTAAGATTTACCAGAGCAGATCTCAGTCGGTAACCAACACGCATGACATTCTGGAAATATTGAGCTTCGCATAGCACTCCCAATACCTGGACATGTTTTCATCAACATCAATCACTTGATGAATTCACAAGCCGAAGCTTCTACTATGGCCAAAGAATTAGCCAAGTCCATGGAGGATAGTCCAAATAGACAGAGAGGGAGAGAGGAACATCATATCATACCACTCCAACAAAGATTGAGAACGCATAGATGTAACCCATCCAAGCTGGCTCATCTTGTTGCATTGACTGCATATAGTTTGACAAACAAAATGAGAGATATTGTCAGACAAGAAAATTGAAACAATGATAGGAGGAGTCTGAATCTGCATTTGGTAGTTAGGAGATCGACTGTGATCCATGTGAAATGAAAGTTAGAAGATGGTATGTCAACTAGGTTCAGATAGTTCACATACTAGTACAGAAGAAAACAGGGAAAAGAACAAACCTTTAAGAGTTGATTCAGTAAAAGAGGCCCAACAAACTGTGAGCAATCATTCCCGATCTGTGCATAAATGTAAATAAATATGTTAAATTACAATGAACTAATTAGAGAATAACTAAGGACGCACTACTTCCTTCTAATTGTCTGTATGTCACACCATGTGAATTATAAAGGACATCCTAAGGCATCAAGATTATCCAACATGATACGGCAGCAGCGACCTCTGAACTTTAACCATGTCATATGAATATAAGAGAGGAAAGACTACGATTCAAAGTGAAAACGTGAAAGAGGTAGAAGAAAGTACCTTCCAAAATCCTCCCCACCAAAACCTTCAAAATTCAAAAAACAAAAGAAAATAAGATTCCCATACGACATGTAGAACTGCAGTAAAAAATTGAAATACTGCTAAGGCAATATATGAACCAGGAACATATCTAACCAATCTACAGTAAAAAAAATGTATCCCCTATGTCATAAGTTAATCAGCGTAAGAAAGCTTCCAAGAAGATTCAATTTTTCATCTTACAAAGCCTACAATAAGATGAAAATGTATCGAGCTACTGAAGTGAACAACTAACATTTAATTAGCACTTAGCAGCAGTATTCTGATATACATCCAATCATTCTTCCTACATATAATATAAACCTGATGATTCTTTTAAGAGATACCTAAAGCAACTGTGCATCAAAATGAAAGCCAGCATTATCTAACCATGCTCAAAAGAGATGAGAACACAGCACCATAAAGTGAGAATGTTTCTTTACCTTCCTCCCAGACTATTGTTCAGTGCTCTTAACAGCCAAGGTTGCGGCTTTTGTAGTTCCTTATCCCAGGACTGCTGGAAGCTAAAAAGGACACAGAAAATATCAAGAACCATATCACTCACATACATTTTAAGAGATTTAGTCAGTGTTAGAATTACCTCGTAAACAGAGTTTCAGTCTGATCCCAAGTATCTAGATGCCACACATCCGTCTCTGTGAGAGGCCTTTTAGATCCCAGAGTCATCAAGGGATTGATCCATGAGAAGAAGACCCCTATGGCCAAACAAGTAAATTGGAAGAAGGGACTCTTGTGAGATTTCAACAAATGTTTAAGAATGGAGCGTGCAAAACTCTACAGTGTGGTAAAAGGTGACTCACTGTCAAATATGTTTGCATGCCTCTCTGGGCATATCTGTTGTCCCTCAGAAAGCTCTTCATACTCATAATCATCTACAGTTTCACTCCGCACAGGCATGTATCCAGGGTAAGGATCCAAATTGGGAAGATGCACAAACAAGAGAATTCCAAACAGAACCTAAAATAAACCCAAAAACCCACCCTCTTAAGTTGTTATTATGAGAAAAAATCGTATCTGAGTCTGATTTAGACATAGCACACAACAAAGAACTATAAGGCTGAAATGCTTCAAGGATTTTGGAGTCTAGAAAGGAGTCTAAGTGAGGTCACCTGAGCTACCACCTCGCTTGTGTAGAGATACAGTACATAACTGCAATGAAAACAAAGCAAAGGTTCCCATAAAAGAAGAAATTGACTTGCATAAAACCATATAACTCCAAACAAAATTCTAACCTGCTAAAGAACTCTTTCACTGAGAGAACAAGATTGAGCAAGACCATATCCCCCACAAGAGCATATATGACAGCAAACCTGACATACCAACGGAGTTCACGGATGTAAATTTTAGTTTCCAAACAAATCATGACCATTGCAGAGCCCCAAGCAAAAGCTTCAACCCCCAAGCCAAACGCCTGCCAAAGAAACCACACAAACAACAGTATAGTTAAGGAAAAACAAATCAAAAGATAAGACTACGTTTAAATCGGGAAGCAGAACAAAAGAAAAGAACCTCGTAAGGAGGAAGACCAGGTCCATCCAAATCCAAATCCAAAACTGAAACTCCCATGATCAATCTGAACAAAGGCTCAGCAGTACCATAAGCAGCCAATAGAGCCAGCAAATAGCTATACAAATTTGACCTCAAGCAGAACCTCTCAACCTTGTGATCTTTCATGGTGAGCCATATACGATACAGACACAGAACCAACAGAACCAGATGAGAGATGCCAAGCACAAAAGTGTCAGTAGCACAGGGCGTGTACGCACCAAATGCATTATCCACTTGTTTTGTCCAAACACCATTAGGCACAGGCTTGCAATACCATTCCAACGCCTCAAACCCCATTTTCTCCCCCTTTCTGCCTTAAAGAACCCCTCAGACACAGTGCATCACAAGTTACTACACAATTCTCTACCCTGCAAAGAAATTCAAGAACATTGAAATGAGCGTTTAGTTGCAATATGAGAGAAAGCATCATAAATCAAACATCATGTGCTTTTCCAAATTCAGTGAGAGCAAATGGACCCCAAGAGCGATTACAAAACATTCGCGCCTTAAAGGGGGACATGGCATTTAATCAATTATGTGGACACGATAGAACAGTGACAAGCAATAAAAAGAAGGACACAGGAAGAAAAAAAAAACTATCTTCAGAGTACGAGATTGAGAAAGCTCAAGTTTTTCATGCGAAAACAAAAATTTTGAAACGAATCCATAATTGTCTCCATCACAGAGACGGCTCTTCCGCATGAAGACGAGATCGCGTAAGAAACATGAATACGAAATCGAGAAAACTCAACTATTTATCCCACTTTCGAGGAGAAAAGCTGCAACACAGAAAGAAAAGGAGAAGAACAGAGAGAGAAGGAGAGAATGAGAGAGGAGCTTTACCTGGAGATTTGACAATACACGAGAAAACGAAAAGGGATCTTATGTACTCATATGGCTGGAGAAAAAAGTGAGTCTCTTTTTGCTCGAAGATTCTCCTCACAGAGAGATTGAAGAATATTTGAGAGAGAGAGAGAGAGAGAGTGATACGTCACCGCTTACGAAGCGAAGATACAATATATATGGACGGAAGAGAAGCTCTTTCTGTTTCTAACTGGAAGAAACCTTTTTCCAGAAAAATACACACAAAAAAAACATTTAATAATATATACTATTTTTACTAAAAATTAATGTTATCATTTCCTTAAAACAAATTCTATATATATCTTACATTTAAAAATGGGGTATATATACTGAAAACAAAAATTCCTCTTATATCAGTTTCATTTTTCTATACCCAATAGTGTGATATTGGCTAGTAACAACTGTTGTATTCTGTAAAACAAAACAAAAGTGTAAACATATATTTGATAAAAATAAAAAATAAAAAAAACTTTAGAGGATAAAATTAGAACTTGTAATTGTGTAATTTTGATTTATAAGTGAACCTTGTTTCAGTATTATTTGATTGGGAAATTGAAATTAAGTGGTAATGTGCTATATAGCTAATGCAAATATTTAAAGTGGTAATTTGCTTGCATCAGTTATAACTAATGCAAATATTTTAAATAAGTGATTCTAAACAGATTTTTTGTTGTAGTGTATGTTTGGAAAAATATATTTTCTGTTTTGTAGGCTCGTTATAGATGTAATCATTATTTGTTTCAGTTTGAATTAAACTTTAGACCAAAAAAAACTCGATTTTTACTACTAAATATATATAGTATAGAATCAACTAATCTCGATTATATATAGTCGTCAGTTTTCAAAAAGATCCAAATGATAAATCATTTTTTTTAACATTACCAAATGATAAATCATGTCACGTGATTTCTGAAAATGTTTTATTCCAATAGGAAATTACTGTTGTTCACGTGCAATAAAAATACCAAAAAAAACAAACTGTGTGTGTCTCCTCTTGAAAACGTTGGTACATCACTCTCAGTTTTTTTTTTTTTTTTTGGTCGAAAATGTTAAATCGCTCTCAGTTTCTCTCATCGATGGACAATTAGTATCCACGTAAATCTAAGTAACATTTTTATCTTTCGTGTGGATAGTATTGGAACAAAAAGACAAAGAGTAAACTACAATTTCGAGAAGAGGTTGATTTTGAATTTGCATGCAGTTTTAAAAAAATTCTATAAATTTTAATTATAATAATACGAATAAAGCTCCAACGCTTTTCTCTCGTCTGTCAATTGTCATCATCTCCCCCGGGGGTTGGACATGTACGTGTGTTGGCGCATTTCAGCATGTGGTGGTGGGTGTGAGAGAACTGAGAATCCAGGGGTATTTTAGTCCTTTTACGCTATATTCATTTCAAAATCATTTGGACTTCGGTTTTAAATGCTATATGGCTCGCATGGGAAAGATCAGTATTGACCAACATAAGGAGAAAGTAAGTAATATACCCTTTCACATGCAGCCACCGTTCCCATTCACATATGTGAAAGATATTTCAATATTCGGAACCAATCACATCAAATTGTAAACTTTTCCACAAAAGTTGACAACAACAAAAGAAATCATTTTTAGCTTCCTTTTTTCCAAAGCAAATGAGATTTTATCTGAACGAAAAGTGTAGAGAAATATTGTCATACTATCATGCCTAACTGTATTACTTTTTAAGATACATATCACATATGATACATTTTTGATATATATCATAGGTATAGTGATTTGTCTATTGCTTGATACTTTACTAATACGTGTTTGCATTGTTCTCGTCTACCACTTGTTTTAGCCTTGTCAAAGTTACACTTTTCGTAGTGACGACTTTGACATTTTTCGTAGTGATAATGGTAGTGCGAATTACTTTGCGGAAAAGGTAAAAAAAACAAGGATACGTTCTTTCTGTTTAAATTCGACGCTCCGACTAGTTTTGATTAGAGGAAAATATATTTCCGTAAATTTAATAAAATGATGCAAAAAAAAAAAAAAAAAAACTGGTTAAGTGTAGACTCTAGTCTTACAGTACACAGTCACCATCTGGTCTTATATTTTGACTTGTTGAGAAATATATCAAACATATTGATGACGACTTCGTCTTTTTTTATTTATTTTTTCCCGTCGAACTGAGTTTGAATAAGATACTGTATGTTTTTTTTGGTCTTTTGGAGTTTAATGTTTTAAATTGACTAGTTAAAGTCCGAAAGACAATAAATATCCAGCTAAAAAACTACTGTCCTAATTGATCTTGGTTTAGATTTTGTCTCGTTTATCAAGTCTTGGTTTAGATTCATCGATCAGCTATAAATCAAACAAAATTGATTCAGCTATAAGAACTAAAATTAAAATTCTGATTGATTAGATATCTAATAACTAAAATTGAAATTTAGAAATACAAACCATCACTTGGACTAGAGATACAGATCTTGCTGGCTCTAAGACTATTGAACTGAGGTAGTGTATTAGTCATCACATTGTTCGCCATTTTCTTCGAATATTTTTGTTTCATTTAATTTGCTTTTTATTTTCAAATATTGGTTAAATATAATTTCAGGAGTTTCGTTTAAATGAAATCAAGATCCACATGAGCGGGTATCTTCTGGCTTCGGATATCACATAGATGAATTCTTCTTGGTTACTTGTTGCTGATATATCAAATATTGGATTTAATCTCTGGATAAGGTTGTCTTGGTCACAGATGATTGCATCTCAACGAGTAAGGCCTAATGCATTGGGCCCATTAGGGCTTTTATATCTTATTTTCTAAACAAATGGCTTCTTCCTTGTCAAATGGTTCTTAACTGGATTTACATCATATCCACGGCTAATGTATATGTATGACTGCGTCTATGTACTGAAGTATTGTTTATTTCTCTTTAAATATATAAAAGAAAGACTAAAAAGTAATGGCCCGGCAGAATCTATTGGTTTGATATATATAAAAACAATGTATTATCTTAATAGAGAGATTAAATTATTGGAGGAGACATGGGAACAATGTCAACAGTTTGTGGGACGTAATAATATTTTAAAGTGTACAATTAACTTGCTACAATATTTTTCTTAAATCACAAGCATATTGTAGGATTCCAAGGGGAAAAGGTTGGATTCTCTATGATTTTCCAATTTTAGGTGCCTTTGGCTACATGTCTATCAACGTCTATATATACTTTAATGCAGAGTTATTTAATATAGAAATCTATACTATAACGAGTTTGCTTACATTTAGAACTCTATAAAACAACCTTAATTTGTATTCTACTAAACTTAATTTTAATTAGAGCGCTCTTTTTTTTTTTTTTTTTACAACAAATACATCACTTTATTGCGCTTGCGGCAAACGACTCTCCTCGAGGAATAGCCAGGCTGGGGCCGCTACGCTTACATGGGAAAACTTACTTCTCGTGCCCTAGCGGTTTTTGCTAATAAGTCAGCACGGACATTACAAGATCGGGAGATATGAGCTAAACGAAATGAACTAAAACATGACGATAAAGACCTAAAGTCTTCAAGCTCAGCTGCAAATGTAGGCCAATCCGAAGGATTCGCTGTCATGGAAATTAAGTCCAGGCAATCTGTATAAAAAACTTCACAAGTAACATGTGAAGAGAGGACGCATTTCATGGCCCATAAAAGAGAATCTAGTTCCACGTGCAGGGAAGATAAACTTCGATATATTCCGCGTAGACCCACAAGACTGGTATTTCGGTTGGCAACGACAATCCAACCGAGTCCACTAATGCCCGCCGAGTCCGACCATGAACCGTCGATAAAGCAGCCTGACATCTCGGAAGTGGATGTGTTTGTTGGCGTTGGAGTCAGGCCTGGACTAGACGTCCCGCTTTCCTCCTCATTTGCCATTCTCCATGCTTCTTCCTCTGCCTTTGCATGATCTAAAATGTCTGGCGGTTGCTCGTCCACCTTCTCAAAGACCTTTTTGTTCCTTGCTTTCCACAAGAACCATAAGATCCAAGGAAAATTCCTGAGATGTACCTCGTCTAGGCCTGACTCTAGTGCTCTCCAAAATAGATAATCAAGGTTACCAAAAATGGAGGATGTGGGAAAAAGATTTGGAGCGGATGGGATCACCGAGAGAGCCCAAACTTGTTTCGCCGGTGGGCACTCGAAGAGCACATGGTTAATCGTCTCCTCCTCCGCCCCACATCTCGGACATACTTTATCACGTCCTATATGTCAAGAGAATAAGCGTTGGCAAGTGGGAACACTGCCATTCACACACTGCCACACAAAATGTTTGATCTTGCGTGTAGTTTTAAGTTTCCATGCCTGTGCCTTTAGAACCAAAGTATTTGGACCCTGAACAGGGAGGTCACATGACAAACGAGATAAGGCTCTCGCATTCCAATATCCAGACTTGACGGTATAGTTGCCGGATTTTGTAAAAATCCAACTATAGCCATCTCTCGAGAAAACTAGGCTCGGACGCAACCGTAAGATGAGGGTAATCTCCTCGGGGGGGGGGGAAGCTCTTGAAGGCGATCAAGCTTCCACCGTTTTGTTTCAAAATCAATTAAGGTGTTGACGTAGAGGAGCGGATCCCGATCCTCATGGAGTCCCTTCGGGGGTCTCGCAGGGATGTTAGGAATCCAAGGTTCGGACCACACGCAAGTGTCAAAACCGGATCCTATGATCTTCCGAGTGCCCGATGTAAGAAGAGGTTTTGCCGCCATTATGCTACGCCATCCATACGACGGCCGATTCGATGCGCTTACTTCAAGAGGATTACAATATCTAAAGTATCTCCCCTTTAAAACACGACATAAGAGGGAATCTGGGAATCTCAAGAGTCTCCAAAGTTGTTTAGCAAGCAGCGCAATGTTGAAATCTTCTAGAGTCCTGAATCCGAGGCCACCATCCTTCATTTGGTCGCATAGGGAATCCCATGCCGTCCAATGGACTCCTCTACTCTCACTCTTTGAGCTCCACCAGAAGTTGGCAATTGCGCTCTTTAGCTTAGAGCATAAGGCCTTTGGAAGGAGGAAACACGACATTACATATGTCAGAATCGCTTGAGCCTGGGATTTAATCATAATCTCTTTGCCACCCTTCGAAAGTAGTTTAGAAGACCAGGAGTTAAC